AAAATGCTGAAGGACAAAAAGAAGGACAGAAAATGTTTTTGTTTTGGTGGCCATCTCTCCCCGGCTTGTGCTCACAGAGGGCTCTTTTTTGAGCCAGTACTCGCTCCCTTTAAGTAGCGGGAGGTTGGTTGGTTGGGAGGAAAAAAGTAACAGGAAACGCAGGGATGAAAAGAGAAAAGAGTACCAATTTAGTGGAAGAGAAGGGGACCCGTATTGGGGGGAAATGCTTAGAAGTGGGGAAAAAGTAGAAGAAAGAAAAAGGAGAAGTTGGAAACTGAGAATGTTGTTCTCTTTTGGGTTTTCAAGAAGAAACCCATGAGATTTTGGAAATTGAAGGAAAAGTCACCATGTCAAAATGACCTAGAAAACACACGCGGATCATGTTAGACCATGGCCTAGAAAACCGAACTTGCAAAAGTTATGCCACCATGTCGCCTAGAAAACGTACACTTTCCACCAAATATCATTTTTTGGTCTTCTAGGTCATGATTCTAGAAGTTAGGGCGTCAGATCAGTATATCTAGGTATAGCTTTTGATCTGGGGGGCCTAAAAATCCAGTCCCAAGTGGCCTAGAAAACCCCCGTGGCCAAACTTTCTAAAATTCCAGACTCCATCTTCAATGTGGCTCCTGGAAGCTTGCGTCACTCCACAAACAGCAAATTCTCAAAAATGGCTGACCGAATTCCTTCCAATGTCAACCCAACTGCTCCTCTCGAATCGTCCCGCCTATCTCATCGTTCGAAATTCATGGAATCCCGTTCCCTTCGAACACTATCCATCACGACCTGCCACGTGTCAATTGACGACGTCTGAATCCGAAAAGTACGTGTGGACGGATGCGAAGGTTTGGACGACTTCAGAGATTCGTGCCACGTGTGAAGATTGTGATTTTGTGTCGGGTAAGGCTTGTCCTGTAGGCGTGACGTCTTCTGAATCCTTTGACGTTATCTGGATTTCAGGCAACATGTGGTTCTACATCCCTTCCGGAGCACCGAGAAGTCCTGACGAGCTCTTCGCCAATGTCTTCGATCCAATTCTAAACTGGAATTGTGCTCCGACGGGCGACGGTGAGGCCATTGGATGCGCTGAGGATGCGTTGGCACTGCTCTACTGGAACGCTCCTGGAGACGTGATACATTTGGGTGCCGAGGATTTGAAGGTTTGGCGACGTCTTCTGATCCCTCTTTCTTCATCTTATTCTTGCAGAAAATCGCTCGTCGCCTCGGGATCGTTATCGAGAACGAGGACGCGATGGTCATCGACTGCCTCGAGGAGGATTTCTCCGGTGGTGCCACGTCGTCTGAAGACGATGAAGACGTTCCACGCCGAATTCCACTTTTCGACTGGTTCTGGGTGGGCATCGCGTTGATCGTGCTGCAAATGCTGTACTTAGCATCGAAATTCGACTTTTTCCGCGACTGGTTCCCTTGAAATGAATTTCTGGAAGAGGGAGGATGAAGAAGAGTACAACAATTTTTACAACGAAAATCCTAATTTTTGTGATGATCTCTAGTTTCTAAATGAATATTTTTCACATTTCAAGTTTATAGAGGAGCTCAGAAGTATATAGAAAAAGAGATAGAGACAAAAAATGGGGAAGGGAAGCAAATATATAATAAAACTCTGTAGGTGGGGAAAGTTTGGGATGATTTTTCACAACACAAATTTTCTATATTTCGCATGGGGAAGAAAGATGACGAAGGAGGGGATGTACATTCACACAGACACACAAACGTTCAAAATAATTTAGGTTACGACGTGAATTTTTTTGGGGGTAGGTTGGGAGACGGTGATTTTAAGCTGGAAAAAAAAAGAAATAGACATTAGATTTTTAATGTATGGGAGAGAGAAGAAGGCGAAAATGACAGAAAAGAAAAAAAAACCACGACTAAAAAGAAAGAAGGAAAATAAGATTGATCGGATGGTGAGAGGGAAAAGACGATTAGAATCAAAGAGGATATCACAGTGATCGAATTGTTTTACCAATCGATTTAACAGCATCCACTGCTCTTCTTGTCTTGGACCGGTTGGCTTCCTGTAATGCGGACTCCTGGTGCTCCGCCGGCTCCTTGAACTGGTCCCATACGCGACTTGATCTCAGATGCCATGGTGAGGAAAGCCTGGAAAAAGGAGAAGAAATTAGGATTGAAGAGGTCAAAAATAAAGCTGTCCTGGGCCAATTTTGAGCTGAGTCTCAGGACTGTCCTATTTATTTTTGACTGAATGAAACAATTTTAGCAACAAATCTAAAAAGAAATGTTTAGACTCCAACAAACCCAGCCTCACCTGTTCAACATTGGTTGACGACTTGGCCGATGTCTCAAGGAATGGAATTCCGAGTTGTCCGGCGTAGTCTTGAGCGGCTTGGGTCTCGACAGCTCGCTTCGCCGTCAAATCGCACTTATTTCCCACCAACAGCTTGTTGACGTTCTCGCACGCGTACCTATCGATCTCCTGAAGCCATTGCTTCACATTGTTGAAGGTTTCCTGCAAAACGAAAAAAAAACTGTTATTCGAATTCCTCTACATTCCAATTACCTGATCAGTGATATCGTAGACGACGATGATACCGTGAGCTCCACGGTAGTAACTGGAGGTAATTGTGCGGAAACGCTCTTGTCCGGCGGTATCCCAGATTTGAAGTTTGATAGTCTTTCCGTCAAGCTCGATGGTGCGGATTTTCTGGAAAAATAAGATTTAAAAATTGCCAAAATGATTTCTCGCAACTTACAAAGTCTACTCCAATTGTGGAGATGTATGACTCGGTGTAGGTATCGTCGGCGAAACGCAACAACAGACAGGACTTTCCGACTCCGGAGTCTCCGATGAGAAGGAGTTTGAAGAGGTAGTCGCTGAAGGAAAATTCATTTTTACAGTAGAAAAAAAACAACAAAAAACTCACTATTCAGGATTCATGGCGGCCATTTTTCTGTCTACGATTAGTAGTGTGTGTCGGTGAACCCCTGAAATTATCGAAATTTGAAGAAAAAAAATGTGATGAGCAAGCAGGTGACACGTTTACATCAAAAAATTGCGAAATAAATATAGAACGGTGACAAATCAGGTGATTCAGGAAAGACAACATAACACCCCGACGGCTTGTATAATTTATTGATTGGCCCGGTTTGTAAACATTGAGGGAACCGGTTTCTGGCGAGATATAAAATTCGATTTTCCAGGTGGAAAAGAAGCAAATTTCAGCAAAAATGATGAGAAATTGGTTAAAAAACCCTAGAGAATTAGCAAGAAAAAAAAGTCAATTTTTATTGGGGATTTCGCAATTCTCTTTGGAAGAGAAAATACAGTAAAACGTCAAGTTTTTCTAGGAAAAATCAACAAAAACTAGTGCGAATTGAGCTGTTTCATTTAACTTTACAGCTTAAAACTCGAAAAATCGAGCAAAAATCCGGATTTATCCCCGATTTTTCATATCTTCAAAAATAGTCGTTTCTGGGTCATTTTTCGAGGGGAAAACGTTGGAATGAAGAGTTTTAGATGGGAAATTTGATTTTGAAAAGTCTGAAAACCCAAAATTCGCAGAAAAATGAGTGAAATCGGACGAAATTCGACGGGGAACCGGCTAAATGACGTGGCGCCGACTGGCCAGCAGAACACCCCGTGACTGCGGAGCGGTTCGACCGCGACGCGTTCGACGGAGCGCGTTTCCATTTTTCTTTTCTTTTTCATGAATTTCTGAAATTTTCAGAGTTTTTAGACTCCGAAAAGGGATTTTTAATAGAAAACAAGTCAAAAAAATACAATTTAGCACATAAAAAACAAAAAAAATTGAATCTTCGAGCAAAAATCTTCATAAAAACCTACTTTTTAAATTTAAAAATATTATTTTTTTCAATTTTCAGCTTCTCAATGGGCGGCGGTTCGTCGCATGTGGGTCATGAAAGTTTGAGGTTAGAAATTTCAATTTTAAATCAAAAAAAAATATAAAAAATTTCAGTCAAAAATCCGCTACAAATTCCCCAAAACTTGGCGCCAAAAGTCCGCGTCGCCTGAAATTTTCCCTCAAAGTGGGTCAAAAAATATGTATGAAAATTCAAAAATGTTCAAATTTTGCAGCGAAAAACATCAGAGCGAGATCAAATCCGCCCGTTTGAAGAGCTCATTCGCTACTGGCCAAGTTCAGATATTGACCTACTTTTAGCAGAGTTTGAAGCCGATTTGAAGCTTTTGGAGCTTCAAAATCAGTGTGATTCGACTAGAGAAGCAGCGAAATCGATAGCGAAAGATCTGGAAGTGGCGGCGAAATTTGAAGATTTAAATCTGATTTTTAAAGTAATTTTTGAACATTTTCAAATTTAAAATTTTGAATTTCGCTCCAAAAAATTTAATTTAAACAATTTTAGACCCGCTCCATCAGCTGCAATCGTCGCTTTCTGCTTCAGCGATGCAAAAATTTGAAAATTCCCGAGGAATTATCGATTTTCTCACTTGACGAAATCGGGAAATTCCAAAAACTTCAGCCAGAAGATGTGGAGAATTTTTTGAAATTTCAAATTTATACTGAAAAATTCGGCAATTCTAGAATTTCTGAGGAATTTGGGTGCCAGAAAAGGCTGGAAGAGGATTTACGGGAAATGCAAAAATTGGATTTGAAAAATGGAGATTTAGTGATTCAAGTGGTCGAAGGAAGTGAGTTTTCGGCTGGAGATGACTGGAAAATTGAGAAAATTAATCTGAAAATTTTTGAAAAAAAAATCCTGTAAAATAATTTTTTTTTAATTTAAATTTTCAAAAAAAATTCGAAAAAGTAACAAAAAACTGAAAAAATCCTTAGAAAGATGAGCGGAGCCTAAATTGCAAGCACATTTGAAGCATTAAAAATTCTGCTTTGTACAAAAAAACACACAAAAAAATTCGAGCTTGCAATTTAGACTCCGCCCACTTTTCCAAAAAATTTTTTGATAAAAAAATCTAATTTTTTCCAGAATATCCCAATTCCGACACCTTCTCGATCCGATGCTCATCGCTTGTCGCCGCCGCTCGAAGTCCAATAATTCGATCATTATTACTTCGAAAATCGGTCCAAAAAGAAAAAGAAAAAACAATAGTTTTCTCGGATTTAATATTTCCGAAAGTTTTTGCACCTCTTTTTGTCTTGTTTCTGTATACAGATCGGCTGGATTGGAGCTTGGCACCGAAATCTGATGATTCTATATCTTCTTTATCACAGGTAAGGGGAAAAAATGACTTAAAATGGCCTGAAAATGCTGAAAATTGGTTAAAATTTGTCTTAAAAAGACGGAAAATGAGTAAAAAATGACCTAAAACAGGAAAAAATCTGAGTAAATGGCTCAAAAAGGCAGAATTTCGACCATCTAGTGTGATGGCCTAACTTTCTCAAGTTGTGTTTTCTAGGCCTCCAATTTTTCTAGCCTAGAAAGAACTTAATATTTAACTGACAAGTTTTCTGCGCCATTTTAACAGGATGGCCTAACTTTTGCAGTTTGAGTTTCCTAGGTCAAGCGATTTTTTCCCTTCCGAAAATCCTCAAAAAATTCAAAAAATTTCCAGGCCAAAGCGATCACAACGAATGGAAAATCGCCGGATTTGCAGCTGGCTCGAGCGCTGAAAATCATTGAAATCGCCAGATTTTTTGAGGTCGAGAAGCTGGTTCAAGGTGAGAAAATCCTAGAAAAATCTAAGTCATGATCTAAAAAAATCTAGGTCGTGACTTAGAAAAATCTATAAAAACCTAGGCCGTGACCTGGAAAATTTAGGTCGTGACCTAGAAAATCTAGGTCAAGGCCTAGAAAAATCTAGCTCATGACCTGGAAAATCTAGGTTCAAAAATCTAGGTTTTCCGAATTCTTGAATTTCTAAATCTCTTCTTTCCAGCCTGTGAAGACGTCGTCATCCGTAACCTCTCTCCCGACAACGTCGTCCAAATCCTTCAATGGGGTCGTACGAACAACTCCAAATACATCTCAACGCACGCCTTCAGATTCATCGAACGAGAATTCTCCAGAATCGCGACGTCTTCTTCTTCTTCACCGAATTTTCTAGAATTATCGTCTCAAGAAATGGAGGAATTAACAAAAAGTCAATTCTGTCAATGCACGGAACTCGAAATGCTCAACGCGTGTTGTCGATGGGGCGAATTTGCATTGTTGAGGAAATTAGAGGAACGAGAGCCGAATTTAGTAGCTGATACGTGTCATTCGATTAGTCGACGGGGATTGAAGAAGTCGGAAAAAACGGGAGAAGAGTTGAAAGGTAGGAGGGCTGAAAATGAGATGAAAATGGCTGAATATAGCCTAGACTGAAAATGATCTAATAATAAGTAAAAATAGGCTGAAAATATGAAAAAAAAAACTAGCTGAAAATAAGCTCAAAATGGCTTCAAGAAAGGCTAAAAACAGATCAAAAATTAGCTGAAAATGAGCACAAAATGAGATAGAAATGGCTGAAAATAGGCAAAAATATTTATGAAAATATGTGAAAGTGGAGCCAAAAATAAGCTTAATGTGACTAAAAATAGCTTAAAATGGGCTTAAAAAGGTTTACAATAACCTGAAAATTGAAAATTAGTTAAAAATAGGCTAAACAGCTAAAAGACAATCTCAAAATATACCAAAAATAAGCTTAAAATAGGTTGAAAATGAGCTGGATATTAGCTAATATCGAGTAGAAAAGTGGCCAAAATTTGCTTAAAAAAGACCTAAAATTGGCTACAAATGTTCTGAAAATGACGGCTAAAAATAGGCTAAAATAGGCTGAAAATTAATGAATTTGAACTGAAAAATGGCTGGAAATGCCTGAAAATTAGCTTCAAATCGGCTGAATATTGCTGAAAAAAAAGCTTGAAGAACTGCTTGACTTATAGACTGGAAATAGGCTGGGAATGTGTAAAATATGAGCTAAAATTGACAGAAAGTTGGCTTAAAATACGCTGAAAATGAGCTAAAAATCCGCCAAAAATAGACTAAAATAAGCTTGAAATGAGCTGAAAATAGCTATGAATATGCTTAACATAGGCTAAAATCAAGGTTATAATTGGCAAAAAAAGACTAAAGTCAAGTCTAAAAAGGCTGAAAGTATGAGAAAAATTGGCTGAAAACCGGTTAGAAACGGCAAATACTGGTAATATTTTTCGGGTCGTTTCCAACAGTGTTCAGCCATGTTTAGCTTAGTCACAGCCATTTTCAGCGTGGAAATGAGCTGAAAGTGAGTCTAAAATAGCTGAAAAAAAACTTTTTTCCCTGTTTTTAGCTCAATTCCAGCCAAAAAATTAAGCTAAAAAGTTGCTGAAAACCGCCTGACCAACTATGAAAACCAATAATCCCTCTCCCCAGTAATTCCAGAAATCCTAAAACCCCTGGCTGAGAACATCCGCAAAGACTACGCCCTCCCACCATTTCATCAGGATCTCACCGACGCCTACAACAAGGGAATTCTGGAACAATCGCCAATGGGACAAGATCTTGTAGTTTGTGCGTCGACATCTGAGATTAATCCAGATGCTCATTGGCTGAAACCTGAGCAATCGAGTGCTGGACCCAGATACTATAGGTAAATTTTTGTGAAAATTGGCTGGAAATCTATAGAAAATGAACCAAAATTCATGGAAAATGTTTAAAAAATGAGCCATAAATCCACATGAAATGAGATTTCAAAAATAGAAAAAAAAAACATTTCTCTCCTCTGAAAATCTCTAAACTTTCGTTCAATTTTTAGGCCCTACCACACGACTCTCATCAAGCATCGAACGCTGAAAGACCCCTCATGGACACCTCCAACGACGTCTTCAGAATCAGAAGACGTCTTCGTCGCCCCCGAAATTCATCTGGAATTTCAGAATATCTACCCAGATATTCTGGAAGATTCGTTGTTCATTGAAGCCCGAAATCGAATCGAAAAACGCGCGAAACTGGCGAATTTAGCCAATTTTGGACGTGTTTTTCATCGAAAAATGGCACTGGAAATGGTGAGCAGTGTGTCTTTTCGAAAAATGCGCAATGCAGAATTTCGGAGTGTCGTTGCTGACATTGTTTTCTCGTTTTTTTTTGTCATTTTGAAGTGATGGCCTAACTATTGCAAATTTGGTTTTCTAGGCCACCACTTCAAAATGACCTAGAAAACACACCAATTTCTCGAAGTCGAAAACTGTAATTTTTGATTGACTCCGCCCACTTTTTTCCAGATCACCCGCCAAACGCTAATTGAGATGAACATTGCGGAAGAATGTATTTCGTGTCGATTTTCGTCTGGAAATCTGGAAAATTCTGGAATTCCGACACCACCGCCCGATGTTGTTCTACCTGGATCTTGCGATATTTTTTAGTTTTTATGTTTCGAAATTTTGTGATTTTTTGGAATTTCTGAAAATCTTTTTTTTTGCCGAATTTTTGTATTTTTCAATATTTTTCCCATTATTTTTAGACTAATTTCTAGTTTTTTCTTGTCATTTTTTAATACTTAAAACGGGTTTTTGAAAATATAAGAAGGATCCTTGCCATAGAAAATCGTCATTACTTTTTTTCGTGTAGTACTACAAATTGAAGTTGTAAGAAATGTATTTTTGAAAATAGATATTTAATAAAAGTAATTATTTTTAAAAATTCAAGAAAAATTCAAAACATTTTGAACAATTTGATTTGAAAAGAAATAAGACATAATTCAAAAATTTAAAATAAGATTTTTCCTGAAAAATTCAAAATTTTCTATTTATTAAAATCTAATTTTTTCTAAATCTTTTTCAACAAAATCTTTAGAAAAATCCATTGGAATTTTTGAAATAGAAATTGATTCTTCATTCGGTGGCCGAGTTGTTTTTCTTCGGCCAACACCGCCGAAAACTAGTCCCTCGATTTTAGCGAATGGAATTTCGAACATTGTGGACCAGAAGATTGCGACGATGAATGAGATGAATGTGACTGGGAGTACAGTATCCAGGAACTGCAAAAAATTGGAATTTCGGAGTGTCGTTGCTGACATTGTTTTCTCGTTTTTTTGTCATTTTGAAGTGGTTGCCTAACTTTTGCAGATTTGGTTTTCTAGGCCAACACTTCAAAATGGCCTAAAAATGCCCTAACATGACCCTGGTGTGTTTTCTAAGTCATTTTGAAGTGGTGGTCAAGAAAACTCAACTTGCAAAAGTTAGGCCACCACTTCAAGATGAGTTCGTCTCGAAATTTTTTTCGAAAAATTTCTGAAAGTCGTGTCGAAAGAACCCACTGGATTTTCTGAATTTACGACCTTCCAGAATTTCAGAATCATCAATATTCTGGAACTTCGAAATTGTGGATTTCAGAATTTCAGAATTCCGAATTCTATTGTTCAAAATTTCAAGAACATTCAGAATTTCGGGATTCTTGCATTTTCAAATTTTCAAAAAGTTACGAATTTTCAAAAAAATTTAAATTAAAAAAACCCAAAACTCACAAAATAGGAAAGTGTAGAAAAATACAACTCGGAGTGATTTTTACCGAAAAAGTATCCGCTGACCATGATATGTACCAAATAAGCACAAAACGATAATCGGGCAAGGGGTGTCCAGAATGGTAAACTCATGAAATCATTGATTAGTCCTTTTCGATAATATGTGGATATCACGATCCAAGATAGTGATAATCCCCAGATGACTCGGCTCAAACCACTACAAATAATTGAAATTTTAAAGTTAGAACTTCAAAAAAAAATCAGAAATTCAATATTTCAAAAACTCTGAAAATCAAAAATTCGTTTTAAAAACTCTGAAAATTTTCAAATTTCTGAAATTTGGAGATTCCAAAATCGAGGATTTGCAGTGGGTCCTTTCGACACGACTTCGAGAAAAATTTTGAGAATTTCTCGAAAATTTTTTTCGAGACGAATTCATCTTGTAGTGGTGGTCTAACTTTGGCAAATTTGGTTTTCTAGGCCACCACGTTAAAATGGTCTAGAAATGACCAGATGTGCACTTGGTGTGTTTTCTAGGTCATTTTGAAGTGGGGGCCTAGAAAACCAAATTTGCAAAAGTTAGGACGTCACTTTAAAATGACAAAAAAAGCGAGAATACAATGATTTTCAAAACTCTAGTTTTGACTGAAAATCTTCAATTTTGAAAATTGAAAAATAAATCCCGAATCCTGGGAAACTTCAAAAATTACAAAATTCTGAAATATCTGAAAATCCAGATTGCACTCTAGTCATTTTTGCTACTAATATTTGAAAATTTACTGAAACTTAGAATCTCAAAATTTTGAAAATTCAAAAGTTTTGGAATTTTGGATTTCGAAAAAAATCAGGATTTCAGAAAACCAAAAGTTCAAAAATCCAAAAAAAATTGGAAAATTGAAAAAAAAGTAAATTCAAAATTTCAACGGTTTTTGAAAATTCACCTATACAATGCTGTTTGAACAGGTGACCAAAGGTGTCCTGATGAGTAATCCTGAATGATAAGAACCACAAAAATCATAGATGATAACGATAGAATCCACATAATACGATCCACCCACTGAAAAAAGGAATTTTACAAAAATTGGAAAAAAAAATCATAATTTCTTTTAGCCGGCAAGTTTTTTTTGAAAAATTAAAAAAATCTTACCGGATTAATATTCAATTTCGGAACTTTTCTCATGAAATATCCCAAAACCATTCCCATTATATAAATTTGGCATCGAATTAATGGATTATAGTAGTTCCAGACGTCGTATCTCCTGAAAAAATATTTTTTAGGTTTCAAGGTTCTTAGATTCTTAGATTCTTAGATTCTTAGATTCTTAGATTCTTAGATTCTTAGATTCTTAGATTCTTAGATTCTTAGATTCTTAGATTCTTAGATTCTTAGATTCTTAGATTCTTAGATTCTTAGATTCTTAGATTCTTAGATTCTTAGATTCTTAGATTCTTAGATTCTTAGATTCTTAGATTCTTAGATTCTTAGATTCTTAGATTCTTAGATTCTTAGATTCTTAGATTCTTAGATTCTTAGATTCTTAGATTCTTAGATTCTTAGATTCTTAGATTCTTAGATTCTTAGATTCTTAGATTCTTAGATTCTTAGATTCTTAGATTCTTAGATTCTTAGATTCTTAGATTCTTAGATTCTTACCTTGCATCCGGATCGTACCTCGGATCCTTGGGTCCCAAACCGAAGTCAGTTGGTGGAAAATGCCAAAAAAACATTTGATACGCATTGAATCCAGTTGAAAGCAAAAATGCAATCATGGAAATGAGTAATCCGGTGAAAGTTCCACCAATGGCAAAACTCAAAAGAATTAGAGGACTCATGATGTACAATTGAAGATCTGTGGCCAGGTACCAGGAGATTACGTAGCACTGAAAAAAAAAAGAAAATTTGGTAATAAAAGTTCGAAATGTGAGAAATTCAAAAATATAAAAATGCGTAATTTCGAAAATTCGGTAAATCATATATTCGAAAACAAATTGAGAAATTGAAAAATTCGGAATTTCAAAGTTCGGAAAGATGAAATTTCCAAGAATTTCAGAAATTCAGAATTTCAGAATATCAGAATTTCATCACTATATTCCTAGAAATCCTCAATATTCTAAAATTCCGAATCACAGGATTTTCCAAATATCGGAAGTTCGGAAGTTCACAACTTCTAGAATCCTAAGATTCTGGGATTCTGAAATTCGGAAATTCTGAAATTTTGAGAATCAAAAGTTCAGGAATTCAGAACCTCAGAATTTCAGAACTTCCAAATTTCCAAATATTTGAGTTTTCGATATTCAAAATTTCTGAATTTTTAAATTTCAGAATTTCAGGATCTCGTAAAATCAGAATTCAAAATGCCCCAATTTTGGAATCTCATAACCTGAAAACATCAGAATCTCAAAAACTCCCAAAAAATCCAAAACAACTCACTATCTTTCCAGGGTCCACCAGATTATCAATGTACAACAAATTGAGCCAATAATTCTGTCGACAGGTGTCATCAGCGACAGCTGGAGACATGAAAAGTGGCATATCTCTCATCATCCGGATATAAATAAATGTGAAAAATAGAATAGTAATATAATAAACAGGACTCAATCTAGCGATTCGATGAACATAAAACATGACCCATCCGCCTGCTGATAACACCATTTTTCGCTGTTTTTGGAGCGTTTTGAACCAGAGAAACGATAGAAGAAAGGCGGAAATGAAGAAAAATGTGTCGACGGCAAAATAGGCGTTGACTAGAATAGTTCCCATGTAGGTTTTGGTGAAATCGAGAAGATCCATTGGGTTGGCTGAAAAAATTAGGAAACTTGAAAATCGAAAGTTTGGAATACCGCATTTTCTCTAATCGAGTTTGAGCTCAATTCTCTAGATTCCTGTTAGAGTTATGAAAAAATTTTCAACTGATAAAATATTTATCATGATTTCAGCAACATTTTATCAGTTGACAAATTTTCATTATCTTTCACAGAAATCGAGATAATTGATTTCAAAGTTGACGTTTTGGGTGGGCTTCTATTTGAGGAAATAGGGTAGTTTGAATGTTTTTATCATACTTGCAAAATCAGGGCCCGGCCCGCGGGCCCCCAGGTTCTCCAAATTTGAATTTTTTTTGAAATTTCAAAAATTTTTCCAAATTTTTTACTTGCATTTTCCCATATTTTTTTAACTTGGGTTTTCCCATGTTTCGACTTCTCTTCCGGATTTCCCGAATTTTCGAAAATTGGAATTTTGAGATATTTCGACTTTTCGAATTTATGGAAATTCCAATGTTTGATTGTCTGATATTTGAAAATTGTTTGCTTTTTTTGAAAATTGTATTTCACAATGTTTCGAAATTCCGAAACCACCGAATATCTGTATTTTGAAATATTTTGAATTTCTGTCGTTCCGAAGTTTAGAAATCCGCTTTTGATTGTCCGAATTTTAGAATTTCGTAACTTTTTTTTTTGGATTTCTTGTCAAATTATTTTATAATTTTCTTCAAATTTAAAACCTGTATTAGAAGGGCATCTTTAATAGAAGGGCCCTCCCAGAAGTTTTAAAAAATCAAAGTTTTGTTTCAAACTTACTGCAAACTAGAATAAAAATAGCGGCACAGTGTCCCATGATAACCCAGACCGTGGAAATGGTACGGATACAGTTCAAAGATGTCACTTGGCCTTCCTGTAATTCAAAAATTCTTTTGAAGGGGACCTTCTAATACAGGTTTTACTGTATATATGCGATACCTTATTACAATTCTCCATATTAAAAATCTCCTGGATATTTCGATAAAACGAGAAAGCCATAAAAATTTTCTGCCAGAATTGCTCATTTTTTGCTCCTCCTCCTCGTTTTTGCTGATAATAGTCAACGGTTCCAGATAAAATACATGTAAAAATTATAGACGAGATGAGAGCTCTGAAATTTATTTTTTTTAAATTTCAGTAAAAAGTCAGACTTACAGTACTACAAAAGTGCCAAAACTAGTTTTTGGGACTCGCCCATTCACATTTCGAACGCTACAAACTGGTGAGAGCTCTTTGCTAACTCCAATCACTGAAATTTCGAATGAATTGGATGGTCTAGGATTTTCTAGGGGGTTCTAAAACGTCGCGGTTCTAAAGCGTCGTAATTCTAAAACGTCGGGGTTGCAGTCATACCTGATCTAAAATAATCTGTCAAATCCTCATCTCGACAGGAGTACGGTAGACAAATATCCACTCCGATTTGTGGAAGTTGACACGATCCGTTGAAGCTGTTTCCACGCATTTTGATGTCGAAGAGGATCCTAAAGTTTTGAATTTGAAAAAATAGGCGGGAAATTGTTAACATTTTCAAAAAATCACCTGTAATAATCCCCGCGAATCGTTCGATTAAGACTAGTAGAAAACAAATCAATCGCTTTGCATTCTGTAAATGCTCCAGTGCTCAGAAGATGTCCCCTTGCGATGCCGGACCCGATTTTTCCAGCCGCATCCATCACTGAAATTGATTTTTTGTGGTGGACTAGGATACAGAGTCGTGGCCTAGAAATTGCGATTCTGGACGGTCCAGTGTACTAGAAAGTTGTCATAGCCTAGGATTCAATTTCTAGGCCATTTAAAGGCGGTGGCCTAACTTTTGCGAGTTGAGTTTTCTAGGCCACTAAGTTTAAAAGGCCTAGAAATTCACCCGGTGAATATCAGGACTTTTCTATGCCATTTACTATGATGGACTAAAAAACTTAACTTGCGC